CTATCGCGGTTTCCGCACCGCAAATTGGGGGGTAACAGGCCCACCCTTACCAAGCTGCTTCAGGCTTCAGCGTAAGGCTTGGTCAGAGCGCACCTGATAAGAGCACTCAGTAAATGACAGCAGATGGGTGGATAAATGATGTCACTTGCCAAGGCTCTCAAAACACTTTTTGAACTCCCAGCAATACCAAAGCTGCCTCTGAGGAACTCAGGAAGTGGGAGAGGATGCATTTGTCAACATCACAGGGCAGATCCATTTCACGTTATTTACCGATCTCTGTGCTTCCACCAGTTGCAACAGAGACAGACACATCACATAAGCAGTTGGCCCCTGGGGACTTCTCCAGGACAATCCTATCTCTGCACTAAAAACATCGTGGCCAACCTTGAGTGCTAGCGCCACCAGTCCTAGAACGTAATACCCCTATCAAATGATAAATAAATTTAGAAGCTCCACATTCACAGATACTCCACACACACTCGCACCAAAGGGCGCATCTGACCCGGAGATGAACCGCACGGAGCAGCCGGCCACATGCCGGCAGCGCGCTCCTCAGCCCGGAGAGCCCCGCGGGCGCCGCTCCAGCCTGCACCGGGCCCTGCGTGCGCCACCCTGCGTGCGCCGCTCCTCCAAAAGCAACGGCAACAACAAACGTTTTCACAATACAAAAACGACAGCTATAATTCAGGGAACAGGAAAACAAAAATCCCTCAACATGCGCTGTCTGCTTTTCTAGATGATTCCAATTCGGAGGCAACTGGCAATTACAGAGACAGCAGAGCCGGGCGCGCCGGCTCCCCAGACAGCGCGCTCGGTGACTAAGCACCGGCCCTGCGCCCGCGGCGGGAAAGGCTCTCCTCCGAGACACTTGGTCCTGCAAGGAAAGACACAGCTGTCGTCATTCTCGAATTACCCGCAGGCCCCGCCCTGTGTGCCAGCCCAGCAGGAGACGTGAAGAATCCTACAGAGCTAAGCTTTTTTTTTTTTGGATTTCTTTTTTTTTAGAGCTAAGCTTTTTAAAAACCCAATGACATACTGAGAGGCCATGACAAATGTATGTGAAAGGCACTGTACACATTTTAAATTCATCGCGAAGTTCCAGCATCTTGAAAATTATCTACTAAATCCCTGATAATTCTAATAAAAGATATAGCCCCGAAAATGTATGGAAGAAGCCCATTAAGAGCCCTGCCCTAACTACTAACGGGGGAAGGAAATGGGTAGCATTTGCAGGCACTTAGTGAGTTAGACTCTGATAATTTTATGTCCTTTCTGCTTTTAAATAAATCGCCTGAAATTTTCAACTCCATTCACCAGGCCCTCCAGTTATTTTAATGGGAAATCTTTAGCACTTGCTTTTTTTTTCCAGACAGGGTCTCCCTCTGTTGTGTCAGCTTAAAGTGCAGAGGCATCATAGTCCCCTGCAACCTGAAACTCCTGGGCTCAAGTGATCCTCCTGCCTCAGTCTCCTGAGTTAGCTGGGATTATAGGCATGCGCCACCACACCTGCCTAATTTTTCTAATTTTTGTAGAGACAAGGTCTGCCTATGTTGCCCAGAACTGGTCTTGAACTCCTGGGCTCAAGTGATCCTCCTGCCTCAGTCTCCTGAGTTAGCTGGGATTATAGGCATGCGCCACCACACCTGCCTAATTTTTCTAATTTTTGTAGAGACAAGGTCTGCCTATGTTGCCCAGAACTGGTCTTGAACTCCTGGGCTCAAGTGATCCTCCTGCCTCAGTCTCCTGAGTTAGCTGGGATTATAGGCATGCGCCACCACACCTGCCTAATTTTTCTAATTTTTGTAGAGACAGGGTCTGCCTATGTTGCCCAGACTGGTCTTGAACTCCTTGCCTCAAGCGGTCCTTCTGCCTTGGCCCCCCAAAGTGTTGGGATTACAAGCATGAGCCACTGCACCCAGCCAACAAGCATGTTTTTTAATACATTTTTTATTTTTTTTTAGCAGTTTTAGGTTCACAGCAAAGTTAAGAGGGAGGTACAGAGACTTATCATTACCCCCTGACCTTACACATGCAGAGCCTCCCCGACAATCTGCACCCCTACTAGAGCAGTCCATCCGTCACACCTGATGAACCTGCACTAACACGTTATCAGTGTCCACAGCTCACTTACGGCTCACTCTCGGTCTTGTACGTTCTGTGGATCAGCACAAATGTGCAGCAGCACACATCCATAACTGTAGTGCCACACAGAGCATTTTCCCTTCCCTAAAAATTTTCTATGCTCTGCCTATTCAGCTCTCTCCCTCTCCTAACCCCTGGCAACATCAAACACTGGTCTTTTTCTTTCTTTTTTTTTTTTGTTTTTGCCTTTTCCAGAATGTAGCCTTTTCGGATTGGTTTATTTCACACCATAATATGCATTTAAGGTTCCTCCATGTTCTTTCATGGCTTAATAGCTCATTTATTTTTCGAGCTGAATAATATTCCTTTGTCTGCATATATGAGGTACGTGTGTTTTCAAAGAAAAACAGTTCGGATGGAATGAACAAACCCTGCCCTCTCCCACACAGAGCAGCTGTAAACCTGGTCAGAGTGGATGGAGCAGCTATCTGAGGGCTCTGAGAAGTACACAGTAGTGGCTGATTTGGAAATGAAGACCAGAATTCAAAGTACCACCGAACTAGTGCTCAGTTGACCATTGTTTTTGCGGCCCTGGACGCAATGCAGCCTGAAGCCTGGCAGTGGGCAATGGCTTAGACAGAGAGAGCTCCAGGAGAAACCCTCTGGTGCTGGGTTAAAGAGAAGGAAAGTGGTCCCCTAATGCTTAGTGAGAAAGAGGAATTCTCCACCGTGTTTGTCTCTCTGCCATTCTGAGCCCCAGTCCCCCGGCAGTCCTGGAGAGGCAGAGGGGACAATAGCAACAGTGGCAGCACAGGGACCCGGAGGGAGGTAAATGCTTTCTTCTGATCAGAGGAGCTGTGGTCCCAAGAAGGTGGAGTAAACCCCCATTGCTTTCCTCATTTCTGATCTACTGCTGCTTTGATGCAGAAATGGACACAGTCACAGATGATATGCAGCAAAGCAAGACAAATAAGCCCTCATGCTCTGTCAGGAGCACTGGAAGGAAAGGTCCCGGGAAGTAGAAAGCACTGAGAGACTGCAGAGAGGAAGGAGCAACCCCATAAAGTCATTTATGGACTCCTGGGGGTGTCCCCAAACTGCACATGTGGATCTCATCACCAGCTTTGAGAATGAAGTAGGAGACAGACCATCACCCAGGTCCTAGACTGGCCACTGGGGGCACAAACATGGAAGATCTGAATGGCACTGCAAGGCTTTTCAAACATAACTACCATTGAAATGACAACCACAGAAGGCTTGGCAGAAATTTAAGACTGAACTTATGTTGGTCAATTGCCTGATAAAACAAAAAATATCAATATTCTCCATAAAGATTTAAATAAGAGCCACAGTATCATAAAAAATACTCAAAATGGCCAGTACAGTGGCTCATGCCTGTAACCCCAGCCCTTTGGGAGGCTGAGGTGGGAGGATCGCTTCAGACAAGGAGATTCAGACCAGCCTGAGCAAGAATATGAAATATACAAAAAATATAAAAATTAGCATGGCATGGTGGCACACGCTGGTAGTCCCAGCAACTTTGGAGGCTGAAGCAGGAGGATCACTTGAGCCCAGGAGTTTGAGGTTGCAGTGAGCTATGATAAGGCCAATGGCACTCTACCCAGGGCGACAGAGTGGGACCCTTTCTCAAAAAAAAAAAAAAAAAAATACTCAAAATGTCAAGAAAACAATTAGAATTTACCTATCATGAAGAACCAGGAAAATCTCAACTCACATGGGAAAGACAACCAACTGATGCCATGACAAGAAGACCCATATATTGGAATTGTCTCAAAAAGAGTTTAAAGCAAGTGTTATAAATATGCTCCAAGAAGTAAGAGCATGAGCTCTTGAAATGAATGAAAGCACAGCATATCTCAGCAAAGAAATAGAAGATATAAAGAATAACCAAAAGTAAATCTTTAGATTTGAAAATCCAAAAACTGAAATGAAAAATTCATGGATGGGCTCAATCGCAGTCCCACTGAACTGGAATACAGTCAATAGAAATTATGCAATCTGAACATAAGAAAAATGACTAAAAAATATGAACAGACTCTAGGGACCCATGGGCAACACCAAGAGGTCTAGTTTTCATATCAATGGAGTCCTAGAAAGAAAAAAGAATGTAGTACACAAAAAATATTTCAAGAATTAATGGCAGAAAACTCCCCAAAGTTGATAAAATTTCACAAATGAAATAAACTTGCAGATTCAAGTAGTTCAGCAAACTCCATACAGGATGAATACAAAAAAAGCCACACTCTCAGAAATCATAATCAAAGTGCTTAAAACTAAAGCCAAGGGAAAAAATCTTGAAAACAATCAGGGAAAATCCGTATTTCTTACATGGAAACAATTTGAATGACTATAGAAACTACAACGGCTAGAATGAAGTGGAAATATTTTTAAAGTACTGAAAGAAAAAACTTATAAACCCAGGTTTCTACATCCAGTAAATATATCCTTCATGTATGAAAGTGAAACAAAGACATTGTCAAATGAAAGCAGAGAGAATTCATTGCCAGAGGGACCATTCTAAGAGAATTGCTAAGGTTAAGTTCTTCAGATAGAAGAGAAATGATCTGGAAATAAAACTTTGAAAACAAGGACGAACTGACATAGCAAAACATCTAGGCCAAGGGACTATTCTCTTCTTGAGGTCTGTAAAATGTAGATGCAGGTGCGCATGCGCAGCGATGCCGCAGGCTGAGGTGCGCATGCGCACTGTCTAACGGTTGGCTTTGCCTTTACTAGTCTGACCGGCGGAATGCGCGGAGCTTGCTCCTTGCACCTTTCGGCCAGACTCGGTTGGCTTGCTAGCTTTGGGCTACAAAGGCGGAGAAAAAGTGAGGAGGAGCTGAGGTGTCTACGAACCCGTAAGGCTCTACCCGAAAGATTTCGGCTTCAGCGGCAAGATGGGGTGCACCCCCTCTGCCCCTTCGAGGGAGACGCAACCTCCCCGGCATAAGAAAAGCCACAGCTTGTACTCACCCCGGGGATATGTCGTCCACCTCAAAGATCTGGGGAAGTTCCACAAAGCTGTGTACCGGGGTGAGCTCGAGAAAGTGCGGAAGATGTTTTACTACAACAAAGACGTGCTAAATACGACGGACAAGAAGCACAGGACTGCTCTCCATTTGGCCTGTGCCAGCAGAAATGCACAGGTGGTAACGTCCCTGTTGGACAAAAAATGTTACCTTAACCCCTGTGACGGTGAAAACAGGACACCTCTGATGAAGGCCATACAACGCCAGGCACAGGAATACGTAATTATGCTGTTAGAACGTGGTGCCGATCCCAGCACTGTCGATGTGCATGGCAATAGTGCTCTCCACTATGCTGCCTATAATGGTAACTTATCAATAGCAGCAAAACTATGTGCTCACGGTGCCACTATGGAGACAGCAAATAAGGAGCAACGCACACCACTTTTGCTGGCTCTGAGAAAAAAGAAAGTGGAAGTGGCGGAATTTTTAATAAAGGAAAGAGCGGATATAAATGTAGTGGATAGGCTGCAAAGAACACCATTCATGCTCGCTGTACGTTGTAGATCATCAACTACAGTGAGTCTTCTCCCCCAGCAAAGTGTTGACGTCTTTGCAAAAAATTACCGGGGACGGACAGCAGAAGATTAAGCTGTTATTAATGGTTCTAACATGCTTCACGAGCAAATTTTGAAATACAAAGAAAAAATGATACCTACAAATCCTCAAAATAGCAGCCCAGTAAAAGCACAGCACGGCACTTTGAGGAAAAAAGATGCGAACTGGATGGAGGGCAGGAATTCGGAGAGTCCAGAGAAAGATGTGATTGAAGACCTTCCTTGTGGATCAACCGAAGTCCCGCCGGGCATTCCTCAAATTGCCTTCAAATTCGATCGCCCTCTCCCCAAATTTTTATTTAAGACCTTACACGAGTTTCCTGCCACAGAGAAGGAAGAAAGAATGGTAGAACTCGGTATTGATATTTCTAAAAGGGATCCACCAGAGCAAACAAGATCAGGAGAAGAGGAAGACAAAGAACCAAGTTTGTTTTTGGAGAGTATGTCAGAGGATCTTTCAGAGGAGGATCTTAGACATTCACCTGAGGCTGCCGATCAAAAAGAAAAAAAACACAGTGAATACACAAGCAGAAGGGTCTCCTGAGAAACATCATCAGTTGAAGGCCACCATCACGGAGAAAGCTTCTAGTCCGAAAACAGGCGTACAAACAATCAAGGTGCAACCAGCCAGATCAGCAAAACAAGACTTTGGCACAACATCAGAACAAGAGGAAGAAGATCCTAAAGGAAGTGAAATTAACGAGACAGTGAGTTTCTCAGAGAATCTTAAGCAGAAGGATCTTGGTCATTCTGGAGCTGCCAATGCAAAAGGAAACAAGATAGTAACTGAAGAAGCAGAAGGGCCTCCTGAGAAACATCGTCTATTGAAGGCTATTAGACATACCATTACGAGGAAAGTTTCTAATTCGAAAAAAGCAGGACGAAGGAACAAAGTGCAGACATCCAGATCAGCACAAGACGCTGTGGCAACATCAGAACAAGAGGAAGAAAAACTGGAAGGAAGTGAAAATAACCAGCCATAGATTTCTCCTAGTCGTGACAAAGAAACAGATCTGTTTCATAACAGTCATGTGTTGTGTGATGAAATTGCCAGGCTAAACCAGAAATAAACACAACAAAAATGCAAAACAAGGAAAAGGAAAAGAAATATTTGGAGGACAATAAAATCTTACAAGAAAAGGATAATGACATACAAAAGACTATAAAACTCAACAAGGAAAGATTCACCAAAACAATATCCTTGTATGGTGGCGAGATCACTATTCTAACACATGAGAATATAATACTAAATCATAAACTGGAAGAAGAAAAACAGAACAAAGAAAGACTGAAAACAGAAGTTGAGTCATACCAACTTAGACTGGCTGCTGCCATAAAGGATCGTGATCAAAGTCAGGCCGCAACAAAAGACCTAGAGTTTATTTTCCAGAGAGCAAAAGATGAATGGTCTGGTAAAGAGGAATATATGAATTCTCATGCCAGCATCCTTTACAAACAACTTCGTGACGCTGAAAGAAAATTCGCATGCCTACAAGTTGAGTTCCGTCATACAAGAGATGCTCTCCAAGAAAAGACTCTGATTTTAGAAGGTGCACAAAGAGACCTGAGGGAGACACAGTTTCAAAGGAAGGAAATGGAACAAATATTCCAAAGCGAACAAGACAAAGTGAATAAGTACATCGTAAAGCAGGAGTCTTTGCAGGATAGATTATCTCAAGAGCAATGTAAAAACATGTTACCTCAACGACTAGATGATGCTCACAAGGAAGTTGCCAATAAAGACAAGGTGATAACTACTAACCAAGACAAATTTTGTGCGACTGTAAAAACACTTAAAGCTGAGAGTAAAATGCAAAGTCTTTTGTTAGAAGAGAAAAATCAGAAGTTAACACATGAATGTAATCATTTAAGAGAAAGAGTGTATCAATATGAAAAAGAGAAAGTGGAAACAGAAGCAGAGGGACAACTTCGGCAAGAACTGCCTGATACCGTACACGAACTGTCCAGCTTCAAGACTTCGCTAGGGATGAAATCACGTCATCACGCTCACTTAGAAGATGAGGCCCAGGATTCAAAGCAGCAATTAAGTCAGGTCTCAAGTCAAGTATGTATGAAATTTAACATGTCAACAGTTCATCTAGAGTGGGTTTGATAATATAAAGTATTTCAAGATACTAAAAAAAAATAAATAAAATAAAATGTAGGTGCAACACATAAGCATGGAGGATACCTATATGGTAGTAAATTACATTCCACAAGAATGGTAAAATATTAATTCTAAGGAAACTGTGAAAAGTTTAATTATTTTAATCCCATAAAAATAAACAAAGGGATATGCTAAAACAATAGATAAATTAAAATGAAATAATAAAAAATTTCAAATGACTCAAAGGCAGACAGGAAAGGGGAAACAGGAATATAAAACAGGCAACAAAGAAGAAACAAATTAAATGCCTGATCTAACTCCAAAAATATCAATAGAAACTATAGACCAATATCCTTTATTTATGTAAATGGTGTAAGGTAATGGTTTAATATAATGATTTAATGTAAATGGTCTAAACACTCCAACTAAGAGAGATTATTTAACTACATGCTATATTCAAGAAACTCACTGTAAATATAATGATGTGGGTAGTTAAAAGTAAAATGATGGAAAAAATATACAATATAAATGTTAATCAAAAGAAAGCCACAATGGCTATGTTAATGTCAGACAAAGTAGAAATATCAGACAAATCAAAGAAAATTACCAAGCATAAAGAAGAATATTACATCATAATAAGAGGGTCCATTCAACAAGAAGACACAAGCACCCTAAACATCAGTGCACCTAACAATGATGCTTTGAAATACATAAAACAAAAATGGCCAAAAGTGATCAGAGAAATAGACAAACCCACAATTAACTTTTGAAACAACACACGTCTCTTAATAATCAATACAATTATTACACAGAAAATCAATGAGGATCTAAAAGAAGTGAACACCACTGTCAACCAACTTGATCTAACTGACATCTCTAGAACTCCACCAACTGTACCAGAAAACATACCATATAGTAGAACATTCTGACCAAGGCAGGCCATCTCCTAGATCATAAAACACACCTGACCAAATATAAAAAGAATTAAAGGCATTCAAATATCTTCTCTAACCATACTGGAATTAAACTAGAAATCAGTAACAGATAATCATAAAATTTGAAAGCGCTTAGAAGTTAAACAATATACTTCTACATAATCCATGGGAGAAAGGAAACTCTGAAGGATTTGAACATGAATTTTTAAACAATCACAACTGGTGGGATTATAATAAACAAGTGCTTAAGAGGAAATGCATGGCATCAAATGCTTACGTTACAAAAGAAAGCTCTCAAATCAATAGTTTAAGCCTCCACTTAAATCAAATTTGAAAAAGTAGAGCAAAACCAACCCAAATCATACAGAAAGCAGCCACAATAAAGGTAACCGTGGAAATTAATGAAATAGAAAACAATAAAAAGCAACAGGGAAAAGAATGAACACAAAAGTTGTTTTTTTATAATAAAATTGATAAACCTATGAGAATAATGAGAGACACCAATTACTAACATAAAGAAGATACCACTACGGAGACCACAGACAATAAAAGAATAAAAAGAGGATGCCACGAACATATCAATGCCTATAAATTTAATAAATTACATGAAATGAACAAATTTCTCAAAAATCACTAACTACCAAAACTCACTGAAGATGAAATAGATAACCCAAATACACCTATTTAAAAATTTGAATTTGTAGTTAAGAACATTATGAAAAAGGAATCTTCAGGCCCATGTGGTTTTACTGGCAAATTTCACTAAGCATTGAAGATTTAAAACAAACAAACAAACAAAAACCCACCACCAATTCTATACAATCTCTTCTAGAAAACAGAAGAGGAAAGAATACTTCCCAAATCATTATATGAGGCCAATATTATCCTGATGCCAAAACCAGACAAATACATTATGAGGAAACTATATACCAATATCCCTCATGGAACACAGGGATAAAAATCCTAAAAAAAATATTAGGAAATAGAATCTAGCAATATATAAAAGAATAGTACCAAGTTGGTTAATCTCAGGAAGGCAAGGCTGGTTCAATATTTGAAAATAAATTAATGCAATTCACCATATTGACAGTCTAAAGAAGAAAAACCACATGAGCGTATCAATTGAAACAAAAAAAAGCATTTCACATAATTCAATATAAACAACTCTCAGAAAATTAGGAATAAAAGGAAACTTCTTCAACCTCTTAAAAGACATGTACATAAAACCTATAGCCAATATCAAACTTAATAGTGAAAGACTAAATGTTTTCCCCCTAACACTGGGAACAAGCCAAGAACGTATATCCTCACTACTCCTATTGAACTTCTTACTGGAAGTCTGCACTGCACAAGAAGAGAAAAAGAAATAAAAGGCCTAAAATTTGACAAGAGGGAAACAAAACCATACCTGTTTTCTAGACGTACACAGAAAATTCCAAAGGATCTGCAAACAAAACAAAACAAACCAAAAATCCTCACAGAATTAATGAGTTTAGCAAGGTCATCGGATACAAGGTGAACAAACAAAAATCAATTATATTTCTATACTAACAATCAACAATTGGAAATGAAAATTTTATACCACTCACAAATGTCTACCAATAAATAAGATATTTAGGCATAAATCTGGTTGACATGGATAGAATTTGTATGCTGAAAAGAACAAAACTGGTGAATGAAATCAAAGACGATATAGATAAATGAACAGATACATATTCACGGGTTGGAAGACTCAAATTGATTTACAGATTTAACAAAAATCTCAAATTCCCAGCATGATTTTTTTCGTAGATACAGACAAATTATTTCAAAATGTATATGGAAAGGCAAAGAAACAAGAATAGCCAAAACAATTATGAAAAATAAGAATGTTGGAGGAATCACACTACACAGCTTTAAGACTTACTATAAAGCTACAATAATCAAGATAGAACGGTACTGTTGAAGCAACAGTTACAAAATCAGTGGAAAGTCAAGAAATATAAATATATCCACTCAAATATGACCGAGTGATTTTTGATGAAGGTGCAAGGACAATTAAATAGATAAATGATAGTCTTTTCAACAAATGGTGTTAGAACAATTGGATGCCCTGTGCCAAAAATAAAAAAAGAAGAGGAAGAGGAACAAGAAAACTTTGACTTCATTAAACTCCTACACAAAATTAACTCAAAATGTACCACAGATCTAAGTGGAAAAGTAAAGCTGTAAATCCTTTAACAGAAAATATTGAGGAAAATCTTCAAGGCCTGGTTAAGCAAGAGTTCCTACATATGGCACCCAAAGCTTGTCTAAAGCATGAAGTCCAAAACAAAAACTGGACTTCCTCACAATTAAAAACATCTACTCTTTTAAAGACACTGCTAATGAACAGAAACACAAGCTACAGACTGGGAGAAATATTTAAAAATAACATATATGACTTAGGAATTGTATCCACATTATATTATATAAAGAATCCTCAAGACACAACAGAAGAAAACAAACAATTCAATTAAAAAGTAGGCGAAAGACTTAAACAGAGAATTCACCAGAATATACAAATGGCAAATAAACACATAAAAAATGTTCACCATCATTAGACATTAGGCAAATGCAAGTTAAAACCATAATGTAATGCTACCACACACTTGCAAGAATGGCTAAAATAAAAAGCTTAAAAATACCAAGTGCTGGCGAGGATATAAAGCAATTGGAACTTTCATGAATTGCTAGTGGGAACACAAAATGGAACAGCATTTTGGAAAACAGTTTGGCAGTTTCCTATAAAGTTAAACTCTGATATACCATCTGACCCAACAATCCCACTCCTGGGTATTTACCCCAAAGAAATGAAACTTTGAAGTTCACACAAACACCTGTACAGGAATGTTTATGGCAGCTTCATTCACACTCACAAAACACTGGAAACCACCCAGATGTGCTTCAGTGGGTGGACGGGTGAACAAACTGTGTTGGCCCCACAGGATGGAGGATTTCTCAGCAACAGAAATGAATGCACTCCCAATACACACGAGGGTTGAACGGCAAAGGCAGCGTGCTGAGTGAGTGAAGTTATGCTGAAAACGATACATACTGTATGATTCCATTCACATGGCATTCTCAAAAAGAATTACAGTGATGAAGAACAAATCAGTGGCTGCCAGGAAGACTACAGGCAGGCAGCATGAAGGAGCCTTGGGGACCCATTCTGTATGCTGATTATGGTGGTGGTGACACAGAACTGTACACCTATTAAAATTCACAGAACCATACAAAAAAGAAGTCAACTAGACTCCATGTTGGCTTAAAAAACAAAATTCAAAAAACACAAACAGAAAATAAGAACTGGATTTGAGAACCAGTCTTCAAGATGGATGTCTGTGAAAAACTCTCATCCCCACTTAATTGTATGCAACTTACCATTTACTCAACCTGTCCTGGTTAAATAAGAACAATACAAAACAGTCAAGGGGGATCAGGGTCAAAATGCATTGTTTTCGCTTGTGAAGGATGCTGGCACACAGACCCAGACTGGGGCAGCGCCAGCAGACACCCGTGCACGGTCTCAGTAACCGCCCTCCTCCCAGCATTCCCACCGCGTGGGGGTTCAGGGGCTGCCGAGCAATGGAGAGCAGCAGCCAGTTGGCTCACGACAGCAGCCTTTCTTTTATTATTCTGTCCCAAATAAAGAAAGAGTGTATCATTTGACATTTCTGCAAGCTGTCCTACTCTGCTGTCTCCGCCCCTCTCCGTCCCCTCCTTACCTGCTCTCCTAAACCACCTCCCCAGTGACTATGGGCTCCCTGAAGTCACAGATCTCACAGCCCCTCCTGTGGCACCTCCTCTAGGCCCTGCCTGGACCCGATGTCCCTGCAGTCTCTGGCATGCCCCTTGCACAGCTGCCAGAGCTAGTTTTCTAAAACAGGAGCTAATGGTCTTTCTGGCTCCTCTGCTGCCTCCGGACGGGGCTCCCAGGGGCTGCAGGGCCCTGAGGATTTTCAGGTGCCCACCCTGCCCGTCTGTT